CACACACACACACACACACACACACACACACACACACACACACACACAGACTTACAACTGCTTGCCTTTATGACTGGTTGTAATGTCCTATTGTCACATGACTGCGATTTGTGACTCTTTTTGCCAGTTTCTGGCAAAAAGCATCCATGGGTGCAGTGTTTGCTTAATGACCACTTAATACCCGCCAAAAAAAGTTGCAAAATCAGAACTGTTTATATGGGTGCCTTGATTTATGACTAAATCTGGTCCCGATTGCAGTTGTAAGTCGATGACTACATGTATTTGGAGTGCAGTGTGTAAAGTTGGATCTAATACTGATGTAGGAAGTTAGCACCTTCCTAGAAATATTCTAGGATGTGTTATAAAGGCAGAATATTATATTTTTCCTAAAGGAGAAACATATTTCTAAATACATAAACTCAGAGCCTCAGCTCCCTGCCCCCCAGCAGATATTTTCTTCCTTTCTAAATTGTTCCTCTCTTGGGTAAGATGCCTCTCCTCATAGGTATACATATATAATGATCTATGTACCTTTAATGATATAGGTGCCTATCTACCTTTCTGGCTTGGGTTCTGTTTGGGCAAGGCATACTGAGCTGAGATCTGTTTGCAGTGATGGTTAACAAGTCAACTAGCTAAAATAAACACCGCTGGACTGGAAAATGGACTGTGGCCAAGCCTTGCAAAACCCCAGCAGTTCAATGGTTTGAGGAGTCCAAGTACTAGTCCCCTTCCAACCTAGAAGCTATGGAAGCTTATAGGGACAGTCAATTTGTCTCAGCCCAATCTATTGCTCAGGTTGTTGTGGGGCAAAAAATGTCAGGGAGAGTTCAGTCTTTCACTTCCAGTTTCTGGAGGAAACGTGGGATATATATTTAATCAATAAATAAATAAAGGAAATCTAGTTTTCAAGTGGTTTATGATCCACTAGAACAAATACAAATAAACTGATTGGTTTCCCAAAAGCAATAAATATTATATGTAGAATAAATCCTAGAACTATTTTTTTTTAAATTCAGTATTAAAGTATATTTTTATCCACTGAAGAATGTGTAGCTTTCATGTTAGTTAGAAAAGGGGATTACACTTGAGGGGTATCAGGAAGTGGGCCTTCTCTGCTTTAGCACCTGCATTATAGAATCTTTTTCCCACCCCAGAAGGGAGGATAATTCGGTCCCTTTCAACATTCCACAAAATCTTCCAAGACCTGGCTCTGCTTTAAAGCCAGGAATAGCAGGGGACAGAGATCCTGCAACAGCTCCCTTACAACAACTAATATCCTCTCTGCTTGTGTATTTTTTAAGTTTTTAATGACGGTTTTTATATTTAATGGGTTTTCTTTTTAATTCACTATTGTACATCCCATGTTTTTGTAGATGGACAGGTATATAAATGACTAATGCTACAAATAATCCTCAACTTACGACTAGCTACTTAGCGACCAATGGATCTCCCCAAGGGTACCTTCAACCTGGCTCAAGTTACAATGACCAACAACCCCCGTCATGTGACTGTTAATTATTTGATTTCTGGGTTGTCCACAGTATTCTCAGAAGTTGTCATGTCCCCATCAGAGCCTAAATTTGCTGAGGAAGACAAGCAGTGGGCAGCTTCATTGGAATGTGGGGAGGAGGCAGGCCAGAGCCCCTGAGGAGTGGGATAGCTTGCTAATAGGAACAGGGCCAGGATGACCAACAGAGGGCAGGCAATGGAAATGAGGAGCTCAGGAGATGAGCAAGAGCTGACCCCTCCTGATCCCCCAGCATGAAGAGTGGAGTGGCAAATGGAACTGCGCAGACCAACCTGACGACTCGGGGAGGAGAGCGCCCCACCCCTCTTCAGAAGGCACACCTGGGGATTGAGACTTAAGGCGACACTGTGGGAAGGGGCGTTTGTCAGGTACAAACGCTGAGTTAATGGAGTTTTGTGTGCCATTGCCGATGTTTGGACTTCTTGCTTTATTTGTTGGTTCCTGGATTAATTGCTTTGTTCCTTTGCTTCCTGAAACCATTGCTGTGTTCCTTTGCTTCCTGGACTCATTGACTTATTCCCTTGCCCGACTGGATTTCTTACTTTGCAGCCTTTCTGCTCCCAGGACTTTGCTCGACTACTTGCAGCTAGGGGCTGCTGGAGTTGCGTGTGTGATCACTTTGCTTTAGGACTTGCCCTAACGTGGGAGCGTTTGGGGAAGTTGGAGCAATGAAGGGAAGATTTTAACTATCAGCTGTCTGTGTTGCCTCTGTGCTTGCCAAGGGTCATCACAATAAAATTCAAAAGCACCAATAATCTTCCTATCCTGCTTCTTTAAAGTCTTTAAACTTCCGTTTCCATGGAGCATCACATGGAATATCATGGCCTGCACGATTCTGATCTTTGCATGGTAGATATTGAGCAAGTGCATTTAAAGATCCATTTAAAAGAAGCTTACTCTTGTAATCTCTTCCCCCACTTCCTCTAGTGAATGAGAATGGCTGTCTTCAAAATAAAATATAGAAGTTAAAAAACTGCATGTAAGAAATCAAGGTCATCCATTCCATTAAAATATGGTTTTAACGTTTATTGCCATCTTTAATTTCTAAAGAAATAGCTTATTTTATAGTCTTTTAAGATACTTTTTGAGTTTTGTTCGATAGAATAAAATTATGAAATTTAGTAGCATCTTTCTTTCTCACCTATGGTCTCAACAAATAAACAGACCCTAATCACAATGAAACTATGCAGGAATTGCAGAGATTCATTTTATTATTTTTAGGCAAACTCATAGCACGGGTTTGAAAATGCCTCTTATTATGTAAGACGTGGAAACTTAGAATTCAGGGAATATCACAAATAGGCAGCAGAACTAGTTTTCATAGGAAATAATTCATCAGTGCTATAGCAGTGTCAGCCTAGGTCCGGGGTTGGCAACCCACAGCTCTGCAACCGCATGTAGCTCTTTCATCCCTTTGTTGCGGCTCCCTGTTGCACAATTTTGAGAGGAGCTCCTGGATTTGAGGGGAGGAGCATGAAATGCCAGGAGACTCTATGGTGGGGGAACCCAATTTCCGGTCGGCTCCAGAATTGAACAGGGGGCTTCTGGTTAGGACATTTGTGGCTCTTTTGTGTTTAAGGTTGCTGACCCCTGGCCTAGGTAATGAGTAGAGACCATCAAAGCTATGGAAAATCAAATTCTGAAGCCACACACAAAGATCCTTGTTGCCTTCCATCCAAGAATATCTTCCCAGACTAGCTTTAATCAGGTTAAAATTACTGCCCTAACTACAAAAGGTTGGGCGAATGAAAAGAAAATGGATGTGGATTAAGTTCCTTTGATTGAATCATTTTAGGCATTAAATTGAAGCGTTCCCCTGCATCGAGTTCTATTTTGTTCTGCCTGCAGTGCAGGCCACAGTTGAATTCTGGAAAGAATTGTGTGAAAATGCAAAGGACTACAATAAGGAAGCAAAGTGGATACATGACTTTGAGAAANGCGGTTTACAGAGTCAGCATATCGCCCCCACAGTCTGGGTCCTCATTTCACCCACCTCGGAAGGATGGAAGGCTGAGTCAACCTTAAGCCGGTGATATTAGAACCGCTGAACTGCAGATAACAGTCAGCTGAAGTGGCCTGCAGTACTGCACCCTAACCACTGCGCCACCTCGGCTAATGACCAAATGGGAACGGATGTCATAGATCTATCACAGTCACATGACCTTTCGCTTGGCGGTGGGGCTACTGGTTCCAATTCTGATAATTAAGTAAGGATTATTTGTAAAGTGGATTCCTAAGATACACACTAGATCCTCATGGGGCTAAATTTCACAACCAATACTGTAAGGCAGTGATGGCACAGAAACGTCATGCGCACATGCATGTGCTCATCAGGGCTGTCTTCCGGAAAAGCCAAACTTCTGGGTTCTAGCATGCCTGCGTGTCCAATGATCAGCTGGCCGGCGCACATGGGCAGGCTGGTTTTGGCACTGCCACGTGTGTGAAGGGATCGCGCTCTGGAAAAGCTGAACTTCTGGATTGTGGCGTGCACACATGCATACACCAGTTTTTGGCACTGCTGCATGTGTGAAGGACAGCTGATCATCATGTGCACATGCGCACCAGAAACCGGAAGACAAACAGGCAAGGCCATGCATGCTGGGTGACATGGCTTTATGTGCCACTTTGAGCCGCATGCCATAGGTTCACCATCATGGCTGTAAGGGTTAGAAGGTAAGGCTATGTATATTGACTAATTACTAATATTGACTAATAAAGGTAATTTCTCTTCAGTATCAGATCCCTACAATGGTAAGTGGGAGGAATGCTACTGCCCTCAGGCCTAGCTTGTGGGCTTTCTCCAGCCATTGTAGAGTCTCTGGGAGCAAAATGTTGTTGTAACTACTAGACCTTGGATCTGATCTGGTATTTTCCTTTCTTAGTTTCCCCAGAATACAAACAGTATTTCCCGATAGATGTCCCAAGACATGAAGGAAACAAATGTTTATCAGAACTGCTTACCGCTGTCACAATGGCTATGGCAGCATTTTGACTGCAACAGAAAGGACTCTCTGTCAAAGTTGCATTTGTGCTGGAAAGCAAACAAATAAGTAAGTAAATAAATAACCAGGTGTTTCTCCAATGCACTAAAGTAACATATCTTGAAACATACAAAATAGGGAATAAAATAGGACATAAATTCCATAAGATATTAAAGCATTAACTTTATACACAGGTTAACCCATTCATTTAATTCATCTCCCCAAGCCCCTTCTGAAAAAAAAAAAACGCAGTGTAACAACTTACCAACAAATCTCTCCTGCA